GGCTACTGACCCTAAATTTATAGCAAGACTGACCCCCAAATTAATAACCAGAGTTGGGGTGTGGCCCTGGGAATCGTCTCAGAAGCCACCTTGGACCAGGCATGGACAGCACCTCCGCATGCTCTGCGCTAGCCCCAGCGAGGAGTCCTCCAACTTCACCCTGAATGCCTCCTGGAACAGGGCACTCGCCACCTCCCTGGCCAGCCCAGCCCAGCGATGCAGGGGGCTCACGGTGGAAATCTCCCCCTTATCTGAGCTGCTGACCTGCCTTTGACTCTCCGCCTCGTCGGGAAAACCACACGCACGCCTCTGCCCACGGAGAGAAGCGCCGGCGTTTATCACGAGGCTACGCTTATTTCTGCAGGTGTCTGTCTCCAACTCTGCCCAGAATTCCCGGAACACAAGACCTGCCCCCTCGCTCTGCTCTGCCCAGGCCTCGAACGGCGGAGGCTAGCACAGTCCACGGCTGACCGTCTGCCGCGTGTCTCAAGGCGGCTCCCACGCGTCTGTCTTTGCTGAGATGAGGGTGCCCACGCCAGGTCACAGGGACCGGTGATGTCCGCCAGGAAACCCCTCTCCTCACGTTCCCCGGGGTTCTCGCTTATGAAAAGGGGGCTGTGGGCTCCAGCTGAGGTTCCAGACCTTCTCAGCCTGTCTTCCCCAATCACGGAAGCCCAAACCGTAAAACTGGTAAAGGGCCTGACATCAGCTTAAATCAGGGTTGGGACTAGGGGAAGGCAAGCAGGGCATGTACGGTGCAGGATGTAATGACACTCTCAAGGTCTGGCAAGTGTGGATGGGCCCCCGACACTGAGCACCCGGACACCTCCCTCGCCGCACCTCGTCCTGGCTTACCCCTCGTGTCTGACAGGGAACCCAGCAGCAGCCTGTGGGACCCAGTTTGAGAACTAGAGGGAGACCATCGGTTTTTAAACTTTCAGACCCAGATCCGCTGCTCAGGCAAGTGGGACAGACAAGCCCAGAGCTGCCACATGGGAAGCAGGGCCGGGCTGAGTCTCCGGCAAGAGTGGCGTGGCCTGTGTCCACTCCAGGGCTGACTGCAGAAGAGGAGAAGGCCTGGGTGGGGGAGGCTCGTCCCGCGGGTGTGGCAGCCGCACCTGACCTGTCCTGAAGGGGTTCCCGCAGGTGACAGGGAAGCACGAGGGGGAGGCGCGCTGGTATTCCTAAGAAGGAACTCGCAGTGGCCAGGATCCAACAGAACTTTTCTGCTCCCCAAGGAGCCGCACCTGGCGCCCCTCGTGGAAGACCTTTCATTACCAAGCGCTCTAAGCTGACAATAGGGTAATTACAGCCCGAGACGGCTCATTTCTCCAGCGGCTCCCGGGCCTCTGGCTCGCTTCCCCAGGGAACCATCTCCCGCAGGGCGGGCTGCGCCTGTAACCCGAGGAGAAAATGAACTGCCAGGTGCTTCTTGGCAGAGAGCGAGGCCGCATCCCTACAAATTACTGTGCGTTTGGAGAGGCTCGCAGAAGAGGACGTGCTGGAGGCTGGCTTCAGAGGAGGACGCTGGCCAGGGGACCTCAGGCTCCTCCCCGACCCTAAGGCCACGTCGGGAACAGGCAGGGCACCGGGAGGCCGAGACTCGCAGTCTGTATTCCCGGAGCCCTTCCAAGCCTTCTGTTCACGGGTGGGGCGCGGGGGCCGTCATTTATAGCACGTGCGCTGCGTGGAACCCGCTGGGCCAAGCCCGCTGGGGTCTTCTTGACTCGCAGGAGTGGCGGACGTGAGAGCGGAAACACTGGAGCCCTCTGGAATTATCAGTGTCCCTTCTCCATCGGAGGCCCTTCGTTTGGAGAAGCAGCTACCAGGAGTCTAGGCGGCCGGCCGGGTCCCTCTCAGAGCTTCAGGCAGGGAAAGTGGGTTCCGATGGGACAAAATCAGGGAGTCCCGGGCCAGGGAGGGAGGCCGTGACGAGGGCTCCTAACTGCTCCTCCTGCACCTCTCACTTCCAGCGTTCTGCACCCTGTGTGCCCTCGGGTACCCCAGCTTCTCGCCATCGGCTCCGAGAAACGCAGTTGGCTAAGCATCATCGGGGAGCTCATATGGGTCTCCAGTGAGAGCCCTGGCCACTGTCCCTGGCCGGAGCTGGCTCAGCCCTCCCCTCACCACTTCCCAAGCTGCCTCTTAAGTTGCCGTCTCTGACTCAAGTGTAAGACGAGGAAACATCTTGGACACAGCAGGCCAACCACACCGGCTTCTGATTCCTCCCAGCGAGGACAAGAAGTTCTTTCCAGTGGGCCCTCGCTGGCCTCTCCGGATCCTCCTGCACCCCTTCCCACCTGTTCCCTGCTCCCGGCAGCCTCCTTCAACAGGCCCTGCATCCCCACCATAGGGCCTTTGCACATGTTGCTCCCTCTGGAATCCTAGAGTATAAACTTCTCAGGGCAGCAGACACATTGGTTTTTGCTTCCTTTGGTTTTCCCCATGCCCAGCACGGGCACTTAGTATATACTGGTTGATAGGGCCCCCTACATGCCAGGCGCTGGGGGGGCACTTCTGTGCACACCATCTTATTTAGTTCTCATGGCTCCCCAGAGTGGTCGGCAGCGTGGCCAGTGGTTTGTGATAACAATGGCAGGACCATTTACTGAGAGTCAGCTACATACATGCTCAGCACTGGCTGAGAGTTTGCAGCCGTTGTCTCTCACCCTTATTTCACCATCATCTTACAGACGAGGAAGCTGAGGTTTTGAGTGATGAGGTGGTGAACTGGCAGAGCTGACTCTGAGTCCCAAGGGGGTGTACCAACGCATGCTGAGTGACACAGGACAACCTGGGTGGCACTGAACCATCTTCCAGCTCCTCGGGTGCTCTGCGCCACACGGTCACATTTGCTCACGGGTCACCCTCTGGACCACCAGTAGGTGTTGGCCTGGCAGCCACACAGGCCCAGGGACCCCGGATGAGGGGACAGAGCCGGCTGGTGGCCCGTGTGGAAGCTGCTTGTGTGAGAACCAGGTCCCCCCAGCCGAGCAGGCAGAGGTGGGGGCTGCTGCACTGCGCCCAGGGCACGAGGCCTCGGTGCAGGAGACACGGACACCAAGCCCCTCCCTAGATTTGAGGGGGGGAAGGTGCTTGTCCGCACAACTCACACCCTCGCCAGGACCCGTCCCCGGAGCTGGCCGCCATTCCCCGTTTCCAGCACGTGTAGAAATGTGATGGAGCGGCGATGGGACGCCAGAGGAACTGGCCCCGCTCTCCACGCTGGAGCAGGAGCCGAGAGGACAGGTTCCCCTCGCGTGCCTCCCCTCCTTGGCTTCTCAGCAGCTCTGCACACTCGCCTCCAAATCACACACGGGGGCCAAACCCGAGCCCCCGCTCTAGGAAGTCCAGGCCAAGTGGGACGATAACCTCAGGCTCCCGCCCGGTGCCTGTCGCTTCCTGGAGCTAGCTGAGCGATACTCAAACACCATCGGAGAAAATACCGGGGTCTGAACAGAACCTCTAGGGCAGGGGAGGGGGCTGCAGGCTGTGCAGGGATGGGGCTCAGGCCCGGAGAGGATTCAGGCAACGCGCGTGGGGCCCTAGAGCCCACGGCCCGGGCATCAGCTCTGCTCTGCCTCCGCTGTCCCTTCTTTCCGAGGACAAACCTCCCCGGGGCTTCTAGCCTCCTCCGAGCAGCTGATGCTGGGAATCAAAGGGCCCTGACGTCAAGGATTCTGAGATTCTGAGGTGTCCTTTCTAGATAGAAGGTTCTGGCACATCTTTGACAACCCATTCCATCCAGTAACAGTGCACTTGTACAGAACTCTCTACTTGATCGGATTCTTGGGGATCTAAACCACAGTGATGTTTAGAGCCGCACTCCTGGCTGGCCAGGGCACCTCTGTCCCCATCTGAGAAAGAAACGGCTTCTTGGTCCACCACTGCCTCTGTCTGGTCCCACGCGCACGGGACTACGCCCAGCGTGCAGAGCCCAGGGCTGCCCTTCAGCAGGGGCGACGTGAGGCTCCAGGAGGCACCAGCACTGCCCCCTCCATTTCTACAGCAGGTCCCTCTGCACAAATGCCCAGCACCCCTGCCCCACGTCTCCAGAACTCAGCTCAAGGGGCTCAGGCCTCTTCCAGGATGTCCCTCCTGACATCCCTTCCCCTGGGTTCCTGACCCTTTGCTCTGTGCCCTCTCTGTGCCCACCTCCATCTCCTGTAGATGGGAGCCCCCAGAGGCAAAGACTGGGCTCTGGTGCCCAGGCGACGGCTCAGCACACGGTGCCCGAATCCTGAATCCCCCTCCGGCAGAGGGTGTACCACGGGACCGTGGGGGAGGCAACATCCCTGGTTGCTAATCCAGAAATTTCCGCAGAAATGCATGCAGCTACCACTTACCAGCCTCCCCCACCCCCGAGCCTGAGTCAGGTACCAGGTGGGACCGGCGTCAGGGAAGCCTCCTGGAGGAGGAGCCATCTGCCTTGGATGCGGCGTGGCAGTGGAGCCCACTGGTTAAGGGCCCAGGTTCTGGAATCCTACGTTCAATCCTTGCCTTGGCCACTCAAGAGCCGAGTGACTGAGCAACTCACATCAACTCTCTGGGCCTCGGCTTCCTTACCTGTAAAATGGGCACTCGAAGCCTGCGGGGGCCGTGAGGATCTACCGAGAGACGGGCCCCAGGGCCCGGCCCAGGTCAGCTCTCCCAGCACCGTCAGGGAAGAATGCAGAGCCCGAGGCCCTCCCCGTTCCAAAGCAGCCGCCCTTGCTGAGCCACAAACCCTGGCCCCGGGAAAGAGGTCCCGTTTCCAGGAGCAAAGCCCCCTCCTAGCTTTTCACCAGGCTCCTGGCTGGGTCAGAATAACCCGTCTGCGTGTGTGACGGCACAGACCCTGGTAACCTGCAGACAGAACGGGGATTATCTCCACCGTCCTCCCTCCCATGTTCACTTCTGACAAACGCTGCCTGCGGATAACCTCAGGAAGAAAGAAATGCAGGAACCCACCCAGAGTCGCCTCTGCCCCAAAGACGCGGGGCGGTGGGCACTCTGCTTACCCCAGAGGGCCATGAAGACGGAGAAGAAGACGGTGGCCGGGTTGTCGAAGAGGTGGCTGGCCCGGGCCGTGGCGCAGGCTGAGCTCATCTTCCAGTAGCTGCAGGTCCTGTCGCACAGCGGGCACATGGTGATGTTGTGTCTCCGGTCACACATCTCCATGCTGCAAGAGAGGGGGCAGCCTGAGGGGCCCGCGGCCAGGACGCACGGGGCCTCTGCCGGCCCCTGAGGACCGGACGCCTTCTGGGAGCCACGCTGGGGTGGCAGAAAGTGCTGGGGGGTGGCGAGGTCCCTTGGTCCCCGCCAGGTAGACACCGGTACAGCACGCCAGCCAGCTTCAGCCAGTGCCCGCATCCCTCCTCTCCACCCAGGGCGGGCTGCTGAGATGAGTGGCAAGTGCTGTCACACAGGACCCTCTGCTCAGAAGGGCCCCACGCTTGGTTTCATGCTCTGCCGTCACTGCTTTAAAATTCTTGATTTTTGAACAGGGCTCCCGCATTTTCATCTTGCGCGGGGCCTGCAACTTCTGTAGCCGGCTCCAGTGTGGACCCGTCCAGACTTGTGTGTGGCCAGAGAGGGGCAGGCGAGTGTTCACCTCTGGGGGGACCCTGCCTGTACTGCAGCCACCTCTCGGAGAAGCCAAATGTCCCCGGCCAGCCTCCCTCTAATAACCAAGCCCCGTGAGGGCCTGTGCTAATGGTGAACGCTCTCCAGGTCTGTCCATTATAAGATCCCTGGAAACTGAGAGGATAGGGTGACGCCACAAGGACGCCAGGCCCTTCCGTGTGCAGGCCTCAATCCACGCTGGTGGGGATGCGTGGGGCAGCTGGCCCTGGTATAGTCTGGGTGTCAGGCGCCCTGGGCACTCTGATGCAGAAGAAGGCGGGAAACGGCGCCCCGACATCTCCTCTCAAGGAGACCAGCGGCTGGGCTGGAAGGAACATGTGCCCAAGCTCCCTGGGGAGGGGAGACCCACCACGCGGGCCTCGCTCAGGAAGCGAGGGGCCCCCGGCCAGGATGGTGGGTGTTCAGCACAGGCCTGTGTTCTGCTGAGCAGACTGGAAGTCTGGGGACAGAGCTCAACCTCGGTGGACAGCCGGGGTGGACTCCCGGGACAGCCGGGAGAGCTGCCCGCTGCCCAGCAGCCTTCCTCCTCCACCCGCCCCCTGCCCTCAGCTGTCGCTGGTGCTACTTAAAGACGCGGATACTTAAAGGCCATCAGCTGTGTGAGCAGCTACCCTGAGTGTCCACCCGGCCTGGACCAGCACTGGGGACTACTACAATCCTGTCTTCACAGATGAGGATGTGCGCCCAGAGAGGGGAAGTCACTTGCTCAGCGCCACACAGCAGAGTGGGGACTGAGCCCTGGTCCCTGTATCTGTGAAGCCCGTGCCCTGCAAGCTCTCATCCACTGCTCAGAGGCCACAGGAGGCTCCCCGCTGAGGTTGGGAGGAACGGGCTCAGAGTCTCGATCGGCTATTCCTGCCCTCTGTGCCTCTGGCCGGGTCTTTTAGCTTGACTCAGTTTCTCCTTCCGGAAGACGAGGTGAGGTGCCAGAATGAGGCCCTTCCAGCTCTGGCCTGCCCTGACCTTTCTCCTCCCTGCACACTTGGACAAGACGCTGAGCTATAAATAGACACCAGGCAGGAGTGCTCATTCCCAGGGGTTACACGGTGTCCGGGACGAGGCTGAAGTGGGTGGTTGTTTTTTGTTTCTAATTTCTGGATGCACATGAACGTATGCACAGAATCATGCCGGCCCACAGTCGGGGTTTGATAAGCATCTGCTGAAAGGCTCCGAGGGGCCCCTCTGCCCCGCACAGGGGGCCTTCCGGCTTAGTTCTCTTCTCCCAGTTCCCCTCAGCACACGTTTATCACAAAACTGTGCACATGCCGTACGTGCCAGGCACTGTGACGGGCACGGGGCATGGAAGACGAATTGTGGCCAAGGCTGCGGCCTCGGAGCATCTGGGGAAGCGTGTGCACTGTGGGTGCGTGTGTGTGCATGTGTGTGTATGAGAGGGGCAGGCGCACACAGGCCAGCGAGGGCCAGCTCTGGATTTGAATCTCAGCTCTACACCTGTGATCTGTGTGGCCTCGGGCAGGTCACTTGAACTTCCTGGGCCTCAGTTTCCCCATCTGTAGAATGGGGATGCTGAGAATGAGGAGCACCCGTGTTACTGGGTTGTCAGGAGGATTAAACAAGGGAAGGCATGAGAAGTCCTTGGAACAGCGTTGGCATGCTTACACCATACTCCTGTTCACCATCATTATTACTATGATGGGAATAACCAAGACCTGGGCGGCTGCAGTGATTTTAAAAGGAGGCACAGGAGCCACCTTGGGGGGTCTATCTCCTGCCCTCCCTGAGCCTCCTCTGTTCTGAGGGCCTCTCCTGGGGGGCAGAACGGGCCAGGACATCCCACCTGGGCATGACTGAGCCCCTCTCAGGGAACCACGGATAGAGGCCCCCCCACTGTCAGTCAGTGGCCCGAGGCTTGGGGCCTGGAGCCCTGAGGGTGGGCAGGGCCAGGGCCCTGCATCTTTGCCTGCCTGTGGGCGCCACGGCTGCCCCAGCCTGCTGCCCGCCAGCACAAACAACGCAGGCCAGACAAAAAGCCTTTTTCTGCCGGTGTGAAACTCTCCGCCTCTCTCTGCACCACCTTCAGCCAAAATAAAGACAAGGAATGGGAAGCCCTGTTCTTTGTAGTGATGGGAGGTGCGGGGGCGGCACCAGGCAGGGGGTGGGGACCTTGGACTCCAAGGGGACACACACCTCCTGCTTCCTCCAAGGCACCAATGGGCAGAGGCCAGCCGGCCGGGCCTCTAGAGTCCCCAGGAAATGCTGTTTGCACCTCTGGACGCCGGCCTGGCCTGGGCCTGGGCAGAGCCTCCTGGCCGAGGCCCTGCTCTGCTTCCCCTCCAGGGGAGGGAGGGAGGAGGATGGAGATGCCCCGGGCTGCCCCCACCCTCCACTCCACACTTTTCTCCCTGTGTCTCTCCGACCATGTCTCTCCGCATGTCTCTCCGGGCTTTCTGGCTTCCTTTGATCCTGGCCACAGCCAAACCCAAGCACAGTGACCTCAGGTCACATCAGCAAACAAAGGGACAAGCTTTCCCCTGCCTGTGCCCAAAATAACGTGGAGGGGACGTGAGCCAGATTCCTTTAAGGTTTTGATCCGGGTGGGTGGAATATTTTAGGCGTTATTCATGTATCAAAACATCATTTACACAAAAATTGACCAGATATGGCCTCTCTGGCTGCTGAGTCATAAAGAGTGGGTCTCTTCGCCAGGTAAAGACTCATTGGCTCTTTACTGACCAGAACTAACGGATGGATTTTCCAAGCCGTAGCTCTGCTTCAGAGATCCCGGGCTGTGTCATAAGACCTATAACTGAACTGATGCCTTAGGACTTCTCCCGGGAGACTGCAGCTCCTGGAAGGCAGGGCCGGCGGCAGCCACCTTTCTAAACACCATTTGGCCCATCGGCACGGTGTCCCTGACAGAGGTTGGGGCCTGAGGTCCTGAACACATCACACAGTTATCTTTGGGTGAGTATTAGCAAGTCTAAGAAACAACTAGAAAAGACCGGAAACTTCTATGCACGCCGAGGACGGTGTTCTCTGAGCTCCTAAACTCGACTCATGTTCTGGCTGCCATTTTGGGAGAACCACACCCCTGCAGGAGGCTGGGTGGTCTCTGGGGTCTCTGCTTTCTTCCAAGGGCTCCCCATGCCCCACATAACCTTTGGGGACCAGCAGAAAGAATGTCAGCTCTGCGTTCAAAGACCTGGCTCTGTTGCACCATGCCATCCTTTGTTACGGTGCCGTCCCTGCAAAATCTCCAGAGCCCTGGGGACAGGGGACGATGCCCCCAGAAACAGACCCTGCAGGCTGAGTCAGCTGCAGGGAGGCCTCTGGACGGTCATTTGTCTCATTGCCCAATCTCACAAGGAAGTAGTGAATTTTCTTGTCACTTAATGACTAAAATCTAAAAAAGGAAAAAAAAAACTTCAAAGAATGAAAAGGAGTTGGATATTTATTTTATGTCTTCCTCTTGACTATAAAACCTCTCCTAGGGCGTTCGTGCCTGAAAAGGACGCCCTGGCCGTTAGACGGCTAATAAACCCTTCGCACCGGGCGTCTCTCGATCCCACTGTGTGGGCCTGGCGTGTGATTTCCTGGGGGGCCAAGCGGGTGTACCGGAATTAGGGTGAGAGGCCCGAGACCCAAGGTGTTCTGTAGCTGCAGTGAGAGGAATGTGGCTCCATCAGAAGAGGGCGTGTCGGGCGCCGCCCGCCTACCTGGGGATGTTCTCATCGACCGTGGCGCAGCCGTAAAGGAAGACGATGATCCCGACCACGGAGGCGGGGATGAGCATCTGCGTGTACACGCCCAGCCAGGCGAAGTACAGGCCAATCTTCTCCCCAAAATACTTCCTGCAAGGCAGGGCAGAGGCAGACGGGGACAAGCTTACTCTCATTCCACACCAGCGCGGAAACACACGTCACGTCCCTCCCCAGCAAGGAACAGCTCAAATCCGGGCCCTGGTTCTGTTGACCGAGACGTACAGAGTGGGTGGGGCTCTGGCACGCCATCAGCTTTGGGGTGCCCTCTGCTTCGTCGACGCCCACCCCCTTCTCCCCTGTGCCCTGGGAAGGTGGGCGCCACGGACCGCCCCAGGAGGCTGTCTGCTCCCTTCCAAGTCCTGTTCACAGTAAGGAACCAATGAACTCCGGCCTGGAGGTGCCCAGAGGACCCACTGCTCCAACATTCAGCGTCTTTGGCACCTCGACGGACTTAACTAAATCTTCACGGGCTGAACTCCAGTCTCCAGGTCCCCACAGGACACACATTGCCTAATCTGTCCGCCCCTCCCTGCCCTGGGACAGAGGGACTCTTGGGAGAGGACAAATGGCCAGAGGGGCAACTCTTAGAAATTCCAAGGCAGCTCTTTTTTTTCCTCTCAAGGTGGCAACACAAGAAACGCCACCTAGTCACTGGCTGGGTCAAGCTGGGCTGCGGATTGAGGAGGAGAGATGGTGACTACGAGGGAAAGAAGCCCATCCTCCAGGGAATTTGAATAAACTGCTTAAGTTAAGGCTTGCCCAGGGTCCTGCAGGGAGACCTTGGGTCAAGTTTGAACAGGTCCCCAGTTGAAACACACAGGGACATTTATCCAAGTGACACCCAACCAGGGACTCGCCTCCCACAGCCTCCGCCTGAGAAGCCAGGCCGGTTCCCGGTATCCCCTCTTACCTGACCAGGTCGATGGGCTGGTACTTATAGAAGACCCCGTAACTCGCCCACTCTTCATACAGGAGCTGGGAGAGAGGAAGTGGGGAGGGGCTGGTGACAATGTCATGCTCCCCGTTTGCTCCCCAGAACACACAGCTGATGAGGACGCTGATGAGCTGATGGGGACGCTGATGAGCTGACCGATTCAGCTCATAGCTACATCATTCATTCATTCAACAAACACTTATTGAGAGTGGGCCATGTGCCAGGTACTCTGCTGGGCACTGGGCTTTCAGAGGTGAGCACGGCAGATGCAGCCCCAAACCCCGGAGTCCCTGTGCTGGCAGGGGAGACACACAGGAAAAAGCGGGTCCAACCTTTCAGCTCTGTTAAGGGTCTCAAAGAACCCACACGTGGTGGGAGCTGAGCTGCACTGGAGGCCGAGTAGGGGGGTCCCTGAGCAAGAATGGGCCTGGGTTTGCAGGTGAAGGTGGGGATGGGAAGGAAGCTTCTGGCATCTCTATGGAATCCTCATTCTTTTTTTTTTTTTTTTTTTTTTTTTAAAGATTTATTTATTTATTTTTTCCCCCCAAAGCCCCAGTAGATAGTTGTATGTCACAGCTGCACATCCTTCTAGTTGCTGTATGTGGGACGCGGCCTCAGCATAGCCGGAGAAGTGGTGTGTCGGTGCGCGCCCGGGATCCGAACCCGGGCCGCCAGCAGCGGAGCGCGAGCACTTAACCGCTAAGCCACAGGGCCGGCACATGGAATCCTCATTCTTTATAAGTCGACCTGGAAGTGATCTAAAATGGCCTGACGCTGTAAGGCTTTTCCATTTAGGTTTCTCGGTCGCCCCCGTCAGACAGCACACCCTTCTTTATAAAGCCTGGAATCACCAGGCTCAGAGCAGAGAAATACGAACGGCAAGATCTTTTAAAAATCTCATGGGATGCAAAGAGAGCTCGACGTTTATCTCCTGAGATGGGCTGTCTGATTAACGCGGCTTAGTGAAATAAATGAAATCCACATACACCCAGTTATCCCCCAGGCTCTGGGCAGGGACAGTAATAAGCCTGACGGATGGGAAGCCTTGTGTGAACACGCACATATAGGGTGTCCTAGGAAGATGGCAGGTTAGGACAGCTGGTTTGAAAAAGAAAGCCAGTGGGTAATTAATGCTTCACCAACTTCAACTCACAGCCTGAGGTCACACAGGGGCTGGAGGGGAGCTGGGACCCAGCTGGGACCCTCCGTGCCTCAGCCGCCCGTCTCTGCTGGCATCAGACGAGGAAGGGGGAGAAGGCGGGGGCGGGGACGCCCGTGAGAGCTCACCACGGGCCCCCTGGTCTCTCCTGTACACCGCAGCTTGGACTGTGTCCTTTCTCCTTTTCTTAATACTTAAATTTAAAATTTTGGAGGGTCTTCTATACTCAGATTCTGCTGTGGCCCCGTGAAAACACACACCACTATATATCATTGCCCCAAACACTCTATGCTGTGGATTGAATGCCGTGGCCCCCAAATTCATAGTTGAAGCCCTAACCCCCAATGTGACTGTACTTGGAGATGAGGCCTTTATGGAAGTAATTAAGGTTAAATGAGGCCATAAGGGTGGGGCTTTGATCCCATAGGACTGGTGTCCTTATAAGAAGAGGAAGGGATCCCAGAGTTTTCCTTCTCCACCCCAGGCACGGAGGAAAGGCCATGTGAGGACACAGGGAGAAGACGGCCGTCTGTAAGCCAGGAAGAGAGCCCTCACCGGGCACCAGCCCTGCAGACACCCCGATCTCGGACGCCCAGCCCCAGCACTGGGAGGAATAACTGTCTGCTGAATAAGCCGCCCCATCTGTGCTGTTCTGTTACTGCAGCCTGAGCTGATAATCCGTTCTCCCCCACTGACTTGGAAAATCCAGAGCTGACGGGATGGCCTTCTATGCACAAAGATATGTTCAGGTAAATCTTTGAAAATTAAAAATGTGTAAGAGGCTCGCTGGGAGGGGGCCAGCTTCCACAGACCAGAGAGTCGGGGGTCCCTGGAAATGACCTTCTAGCAAATTTCTCCATTTCCTGGGGCTCTTGCAGTTCTGAGAAATAATACTCAGGAGGATACAAGGCCTGTGTTTCCTCAAAAGTCAACCCAGGGAGGAAAATAACTTAGAAAAGCAAAATGCACTCTTAATAAATTATATGCAAACTTTGCTGTCAAAATCCTGGGTTCTGCCTGCTCTGATCTTTACAAGAGCAGCTTTCTTTAGATTTTAAGTTTCTCTGTAGGTGGCACAAACAGGATGTATTCAGCGGGATTCCGATTCTGAAAGACTAATGGCGAGCCTCGCTGCCAGTGGGTGAGCCTCCGTGGCTTCCGGGTAAGGAACCGGGATGGTGGGGCCTCCCGTCTCAGAGGAGAAAGGGCCCAGGAATTAGAGCTGTGCTCCTACGCTGGGATGTTGGTCTGCTGAGTCCCGAGTAGGCGTCCTGGGCAGACCTTGACCCCTGAGTCCTGAGTAGGGGGTCTGGGTCGGGCCCTCCCCTCTGAGCCCCGCTGGGCAGACTCTGAGTCCCATGGCCTCCTTTATACTGAAGGATGCTGTCGTTCCTCCCAGGTCGCGGAGGGAGCCCCGAGGGGCTCGTGCACACAGAGTGCTCTGTGGAAGGTAGAGCTGGGGGCTCCTAGGACCCAGTATGTCTGCTTACGCAGACAATGATGGAAAACCTCCAGTATGACTCTGTAAACAGAGAGATCTAACCAGCAAACTCTCATGAGACTGCACAGCACCTGTGCGAGAGCAAAGTGGCCGTCACTGTCAGGGCTCCCTCAGCTAAAATCAAGTCACTGACTTATGCCACAGACAGGCTGGGAGATGCGTCAGAGGGAGGGAGGGGGGGAGAGATGCTGGGAGGGAAAGAGAGGGAGTGAAGATGCACTGGGGGAGGGAAAGACCAAGGGGGAAGAGAAAGCCCCCTCGAAGGCACGGCCATGTCACTCTGGTCATTGCATTCCCAGGCCTGCCCAGTGGGACCAGCCCACAGCAGGCCAGCCACCATCCACTGACAGATGTTACAGATGGGGGCACTCCCCAGCTTTCTCCATAAATCACTTTACCTTGGTGGAATTTTCTTCCTGCCAAGAGAACATCTACTACCCTGCAGCGGTCAGCGTAAAGAAATCTAACGTAAGATTTCCCTGTCACGTTGGCAGAACTCCCAGGGTGCTCCTCAGCCTTGTGAGCGGGGGCGGGGGTGGGGGCCGGTGGCTCCAGTCACAACGACCCTGGAGCCTTCCAGCACCTGGACCTCAGAGGGATCCTGGCTCAACCCACCGGCATCTCTCTTGCCCAGACCTCCCAGCTGGGCCCACACGGCTGGGCAGGCCCGTGACGGCACCAACGCTGTCCCTAATTGCTGTGTATGTGCTTGCCCGCTGCCGTCTCCCCCTGGAATGGGGGCACCAGGAGGACCGGGTTTGTCTGGTCCGTGTCATCCCCAGAGCCTCAAACGGGACCTGGGGCAGATAACAGGTTTCTAATAAGTAACTGTTAAATGAATGAATGAATGAATGATGGGTCAGGTCCTGTGGCTCTCAGTTCAGCACAAGGATGAAGCAACCTCAATCCACATCTGAAGTAAACCCCCAACCCCCCACATCCCTGGAGAAAGGAGGGCTCGGCCCCAAGGGCCCCGAGCGTTTGTGACCCTTTGATGATCAGGCTGACAGCTATGGCCGCGCTCAGCCTTGGCCCAGGCCTGCCTTTTGCTTAAACATTCCGACACGTGCCCTTGCCCCTCCAGCTCAGCACGGGAAAACGGCCTTGGCTTGGCTGCATCTCCCTTTCTGTCCTGTGAGGTAACGGGGGTCAGGCACTCGGGGGTCCCAACACGGAAAGGATGCCACAGATCTCGTCATTGGAAAGGCAAAATACTCAGACCCGAGCCACTTAAGATGGAGCCACTATGGGAGAGTGAGAAGTTCTCCAGGGCTCTCAGTTAGGACCCAAACACCTATCTGGGGCATTTCCCCTCTCTGCCTCCCTCCCTCTCTCCCTCCAACCCTTCTCCCCTAGTCTTTCCTTCCATCCTTCCTTCCTTCCATCCATCCATCCATCCATCCATGCACCACTACTCATCATCCATCCATCCACCTATCCACCCATCCATCCCCATCCACCCATCTATCTGTCCATCCATCCCACCCACCATCCATCCATCTGACCATCCATCCACCCATCCATGCCACCCATCATCCATCCATCCATCCCACTGATCATCCATTCATCTGTCTAACCATCCCATTCATTAACCATCCATCTGTCCATCCATCCATTCCACTCATCATCCATCCATCTCACCATCCATCCACTCATCCAATACTCCGTCACTACCCCGATGGGCCAGGCCTCGTACTCATTGCTGGGACATGAAATTAAATGGAGCGGGGGATGGAGGGTGGGTAGCATTCCAGACGGAGGGAACAGCTGGGTCTGGACAAATCTGCAGCTGTGTGTGCTGGGCCTGGCACACAGCAGTGCCCAGTAACTAGTTCCGGAATCAGTAACTGAATGCGACAGTCTTGGCACTGACGTGACCATCGGCCAAGTAGTCTTTTGATGAGCAAGGCAGCCAGTGTGGCTGGCGCACGGGAGGAGGGTGGGGGATTAGGTGGAGGGTCTGTGATCCAGAGGCCTGAATTAGGCTGGAAGGGGGTTGCTGGTGCCCGTGGAGGAAGCACTTTCAGGCGGAGGAAGGGCATCAGTGAGTGGCAGAGGGGTGCAGAGACAAAGGGGGCCAGGCTCTGAGGCCAGAGTGGGCAGGGCAGGCTCCTGGAGGGGATGGTGCCTCTCCAACGGGATGGGATGGGAGAGTTCTGCATGTCCTGGGGGCTCAGACGGATGCCAGATGTTTCACTAAAAATAACCAAATATGTAATTTTTGTGCTAAATCAGATAGCATCTTCAGCTGGATTCCCGGGCGGGCAAGTTGTATCCAGTACCAAAGGTTTAAAAACACGTCTGGAGGGCTGGGGGTGGCGGGAACGGAGAACATTTGGGACAGGACCACAATTGTGAGGTTCTCAGGGAAGCGTCTCCACCCACTGCCTTGGAAGGATCTGCTCTTGGGGGGAAGAGGCAGGACGAGGGGGGCTGAAATGAACACAGGGTCCAGGGACCGCAGCTCCCCAAGGCAAGGGAGGTCTGCGCATGTCTGGGGAACAGAGAGGGGCTAATGTGGAAGCTGGGCGGGGAAGGCTGGGATCTGGGTGTGGGCTTGTGTGCAGGACAGCAGGAAAGAACCTTCCAGAGCATGGAGGAAGGAGAAGAAATGGCTGTGGTAGGGGAAAGAGGTGGGGTGGAGGAGTAGAGCTTCCTGGGGAGCCTGGGCGGGTGGAATTAGGGAGAGCCACTGAAGCATAAAAGTGTTTCCCAAAGTGTGTCCCACAGAACACTAGCTCAATAACTTTTCCATTAAAAAGGGTTCCAGGTCAAGTAAGTTTGAGAAACACTGCACGGAACAATGTCCAGCAAGTGTCCCCAGGTGCTGCAGGGACCGTGGCTCTCTGTGTGGCTGGCCACAGCAGTTGCCAAACTTATCTGCCCGGGAGCCGTGCAGGATTAGGCTGAATGTCAGCAAAGAGCCCTGGAGGCTGACTGGCCCCGTAAGACGCAGGTTTTAACCAGGCCAGGCCGGCGGGGGTGGGGGTGGGGACAAAGAGGAAAGGGCAGGCTCTGAGGAGCGCGTCCTCTCCTCTCAGACGTTCTCGATAGCCCGCCAAGGGTCCTTCTGCGAATCAGAGACACGGGAACAATCCAGCACAACGGAGTTCAGCGACGTTCTCCCCGCAACACGGGAGCAGAAGCGTGGTCACCAAACGCCCCCCACGCAGCCCGGCCCCAGAGCCTGAAGGCCACGGCGTCCCGCCAGCCCTTGAGGCCCCTCCAGACCCGACAGAGCGCCTTCCGCCCCACTCCACGTCCTCTTACCTTTCTGTCATTGAACTCCACGTTCTCACCTTCGTAGTCTCCCTGTTCAAAAAGGGAAGAGGAGAAGGCTTATCCAACGGAACTTTCCAGTAGCTCAAATCCACAGCATTTCCAGACAAACTCCAGCGACCCTCACCGACAGGATGATTTTTTTTTTTTTGTGAGGAAGATCAGCTCTGAGCTAACATCCATGCGAATCCTCCTCTTTTTGCTGAGGAAGACCGGCTCTGAGCTAACATCTATTGCCAATCCTCCTCCTTTTTTCCTTCCTCAAAGCCCCAGTAGATAGTTGTATGTCATAGTTGCACATCCTTCCAGTTGCTGTATGTGGGACGCGGCCTCAGCATGGCTGGAGAAGCGGTGCCTCGGTGCGCACCCGGGACCCGAACCTGGGCCGCCAGTAGCAGAGCGCACGCACTCAACTGCTAAGCCACGGGGCCGGCCCTGACAGGATAATTTTAGGGCAAAATTTGACGCAGAACAGGAAAGTCGACCAGGCCTCCCTGCTTCTGATACCAAGTGCCCCATAAATCGGATGGCCGCCGGGCCCAGCCCTCCACCACCGGGAAAGCCCATGTTGCCTTCAGCCTTCGACACAGAGACGATGTCCAGGAAAGGACCCCGGGTCAGTTCCTGGGAATGGCAATGCAAATGCAAGGGGTCTTTTGGGGCTGGAAGAATCATATCAATAGGGTGGACATACATCCTACTTGGCCAGGACGGTCCCAGGGTCTTATCCCCAGGGCCCCATCCAGGTGCTGCTCCCTTTCACTCACAAGCATCCCAGGAGGGTCGAAGAATTATATGGTCACTGTGCATATGGATCAGCTAGCCAACACTCCCATTTTACAGATGGAAACACTGAGGCTCAGAGGAACAAACTGACTTTCCCGGGATGGACAGCTAAATTTGGTCAGACCTGGGACTTGGATCTAGGCCTCCAAAGCCAATGGAACAGAAGGAAGGTCTAGAAGTCAAAAGTGAGTCTCTGGTGTGGCTGGCCTGGCCTGGCCAACTGGTCTTGAGGGTCACCGGGCAGACACAGCTCTGAGACCTCTTGGAGGTCTCCCCGGTGCCCGTTCCACTCACCAGCAACTCCTCTGACCCCACCAGCCCCCTGCAGGCGGAGTGGACTTGAGCACCACGCAGCCACCTGTGGTCTTGGAATGAAGATGCTCTGAGAGTGGTTTAGCCAACGGCTCCTCCTGAGTCTTCAGGGGACCCTCCTGCCCACGCCCAGCCTTTTAGCATTTCCCATGTTTCTTCCCGTGGCTGAGACGGCCACTCAGTTCCAGCAGCACCTCATCTACCCAGAGGGCAGTTAGCTGGTGATCCCGAGGCGGGTAGATGCCAACCAGGAAGGAAGCCAAAGAGCTGCCAGCCAGCCAGCTGCGACATCCAAGTCCTTTCCCGGCAGCTGATACACTGACTGCAGGAGACGCCCTCAGTGGGAGACCCCCTCAGGGGCTGGCTCAGAGCAGAGGACCCTTACTCCACACACAGTGCTAACAGGGACCATCTGGTTGGCAAGGGTACCCAGCGCCCACCTGACAGATTATTCTTGATGAATGAATGAATGAATGAATGAACGCAGTAAGCAAGACCCTGGAAGGGCGTGGGGATGCTACGGGCCGTGACCAAGGGCAGCGAGCAATGACGCAGGATAATGTAGTGGTGAGTGTGACGGATGATGAAAAATTTAAATAAGAGCTACACAGCGCCCAGCGAAGAGCCTGACGCCCGCCCGAGGCTGAGGGCGCAACTTCTCGGCAGTCGGCGCCCTCTGTTTCGTGCATGCGGCTCAGTCTAGAGAGATTTATCTCCCCAAGTGTCTGAACACCAGCTTTGGTACCTCTTGGGGTGGGTGCCCTTCAACTGCGTGGAAAGATCACGGATGCAAAATCCCGTATTCCCTCTAGATGCCCGAAGTCCCTGATCCGGCTGGACAGCACCCTGGACGCGGAGCCCGGGCTCTACTCCTTCTCGGCTGTGTGCCCCTCCACAGCAACTCCAGCCTCAGTTTCCCCTTCTGTAAAGTGGGGACACACCCCACATCGAGGGCTTCTCTATGGCTGTGTAAGGGACAATCCTGATGGCGCACGAGGCGTTTCTGAGATGTGGGTCTTGGAGATGCTTCTCATGGGACTGGCTGGCTGACAACGGGCCAGTGGATCAGGGAGTCTTGTACTAGTCGGTTTAAGCTGCTGAAAGAATCGATTCCTAAGACGAATGCAGTGGCGAAGACTGAGAAGAGGGGTGTGTTTGGCCTCCAGGGAAGGACGAGATGGTGGTACAGGGGACGGAGTAGCCTAGTGTCAACCAGGGCTGGCTTCTGGCCCCAGCTCCCCCACAGGGGCTGTGTGACCTTGGGCAAGTTACTAAACCTCTCTGAGCCTCTGTGTCTGCACCAGATTAAATAAAATAAAGCTTCTACTAAACACGGTTCTTTGCATACAGTAGGTGCTCAGAAATGTTGATTTCTTCCCTTTCCCTTTCAAGACTTAAAGGGCTGACTCAAAACAGGCAGGAGGCCCTGAGACATGTCGGCTTCCGTGTCCCCGGCATCTCGGCAGCGGCGGCCAGCTCAAAGGCCAAGCAGGCCGTGGGCGGGTGCTGGGCAGGGCTGTGCTCCTGGCCCCGGCGGGGCCGCAGAGCTGAGCAAGCCTGCGCTGCACAGACTGAGCACCTACTGATGAGGGAGTGACGCGCGGACGAGCGGGTCCCCTCGAAGACCCAGGGCTTCTCAGCTAGGAGCCAGGAGTGCTGGTGGGACCTGCGGGGTCGGAGCCCCGCCCCGGAAACATCCGTGGAGCAAGGCTTCCTGTGGCTGCTTTGTCCATCTTGGGGTGGGGGAGGAGCTGTCCAGGCGGAGGAGGCAGGGAAAAGCATTGCAGGCAGGGGAACACCATGAACGAAGGCACAAAGGTGGGAAAGCTGGGTCAGTCGACCCCAAACCCCTACAGTGAGTGCTGAGGGGTTGGGCAGTGGGTCAGCTGAGCATCTTTCCCTTGGAGTCAATGGCCCGGGTGGACGGCCCTTTGCTCCTCTGGCGCCCTCCGTGTGTCCCACCCAGTGCCTTGCTGAAAGCCCTTTCATTTCTGTCTCCCCTCTGACACCCGCTGTGGGCCTGGCAACCGGACAGAGCAGGTATTATTCCTGACGCGCAGATGGGGATACCGAGGCTCAGAGAGGACAGGGGCTGCCCCAACTCAAGGCCGAAGAGGAGTGAGAGGCCTGGACTAGAATCTGGGTCCCCTGACTCCCAGCCCCACCCTTTCTCTCTCTTCTGCCTCTTGGCTCCTTGTCTTTGCAGCAACGCACACTTGGAAAGTTCCAGAGATCCTCTGTCCGGGCTTCCCACACTGCTTGGGCCCCACAGTCCATTCCCAGTGCCCCGCTGAACTCTAGTCCGTTTCCATAGAGACAATAAGAAGAGAATCATCTCTCTGTGCACTCCAAGCCAGGCCTACGCGGGGCCACAGGCTATATTTGTCAGGGGGATACCAGTGGGATTTGCAGCTTAACTCAGGAAGCCAGCCACTTGCTCTGCAGAAATAGATACATCCAGAGCCCCGGTCACTCTGCCAGGACCCCGGGCGGGCGGGGTGGGGGAGACCAGGCCAGGGAAACCATTTCGTGGACCAGCTGGCCGTGAGGTTCAGATAAACCCGGGGCAGTTTCTGCCACACATGCCCCTGCCTTGGTGGAAATGTTCTGCAAGAAAAGATGGCCCTGTGTGCAATTTCTCGGCCCTCACTTGGGGGAACAGGGAAGGCCTGTGCCTGGCTGACATTTACGGGAGAGCCAAGGCAGGAAGCCGAGACCGCAGGATAATTAGCGCTCCCTGGGGGGTTTGTGGCCCTTGGGGATTTGGGGAGGCAAATGACGCAGCAGAGAGAAACTGTGTTTGTCAAGGTTACTTACATCGTGCAGGGGGTAGGCGGCCGAGTAGACGCCATTGGCCAGCAGGCTTGTGATGCCTTAAAAATAAAGGCAGAGAGACGATTATGGACCAAGCTGCTCCCTTCTCAGAGTGGTCCCAGGACTGTCTCAATCACCGAGAACTTTCTCAAAGCGAACCACACTTGGCTGCACAGAGCCCGGCCACCTTTCTGGGGTCTCCTCCCCGGGTTCGATCAGCAGATGATGAAAACATGCTCGATTGGCAGGATTAGGAAGACACAGAGGAAACCCCAAGAGGAAGTTACATCCGGGAGGAAGGAGGTACCCCAAACCTGCAATTCACCAACTACCCCCGTCTGCTTGAGGATCGGAAAGGAAGATTTTAAGTGGTTAGAAAAGCTGAATCATGAGAAAAATATGGATGGGAAAATTGATGGTGTCAGAAAACACGCATACAATTTGGAATTAGATTTCAGGTTGATTGGAAAAGCCAGAGGATGCCTGCGAGCCCTGGGCGGGGGCAGAGGCTCACTTACCGTATTTACCACATTTTCGCCTTTTACTTAAAAGGACGGGATCCTTCTTTCTTCCCTCTCCTTGCCCTGTTTATACATCGGCTATTAGTGACATGAAAAAGGGCCTGGAAGGATCGAAGCTGTATTTGGGGGAGAAAGTGCTCGCTCATGGAGGCCGGTGCAGTGCTCCGGGGGCAGTGGAATGATGGCTGGGCCCTTGCTTGCTGACCGGAGGCCCCGCACCGGGTGCATTATAAAAATTACCACACCTGCACCTCCGAAGATGTGGATTCGGGCGCCCAGCCCCAGAAGACAGAACCGAGAGGGGGTAAGGCAGGGCCCGCCGTGCATGGGGAAGGGGGTTCTCAGAGATCTGGCGTTGCTCCGCACACATCCTTGGGGACCAGCGCTGCCAAGGAACCTCCACGAAGCCCTTTGCTGGTCATGGAACCCTCTGCCTGGCCGAAGAGGCTTTCTAGGTGGTAAGTGGGTCAGATTTTTCAGTGGCCTGGCTGGCCCACTCTTTACTACTCTGCTGTGAAACCAGTTGGCAAGCGACTTTCTGAAGACCACTTAAAAACAGACCATCTCCTCGGTTTGTGATCTGGAGTGGTCAGGGCATCTGAGGGACGCTTAGAAATCCACACCAGAGAGAGGTGGGAGCGCATGGCTAAAGCCTCACGAGTGGAAAGTTCACCTGCAATAAAAAATGGATGTGGGGTCTGATCCAGGCCCATTGGCTCCTCACTGTTCCTAGAATACTCTCAACACGGTGCTGCCACAGGGCCTTTGCACAGGCTGCTTCGTCTATCTGGAAGGCTCACGCCTCACTTTCTTCAGATCTCTGCTCAAACGTCACCTCATCAGAAAAGCCTTCTCCGATCACTGTTTCTAAATCCCCCAGCACCCCCATCCCTCTTCAACCTGCAAGACTGCATTCTGGTTTATCTGATTATTTATTATCTATGTCCCTCCTCCAGGATATAAATCCCCTGAGCGCAGGGAGCACCTGCCAGGCAGGGACAGAGCTTGGCAAGTGACAAAATCTATCAACCCTTGCTGCAAGTTGAATGAATGAATTGGGAGTGAGGCTTTCAGACAAGGAGCCAACATGAAAGGGAGTGCAGAAAAGGATGCTTGTCTGCCTGCTCTGTCACCAGCCCTGCCAGAGAACCGGTGGGACATACAGAAACGCCCACTCTCAGGGACCACCCAGAGCAGGGATCGGCTCAGCTGAGAAGCCCCCAGACCCTGGATTCTGCAAACCTTCACAGCAACCACACGTTTCCACCGGAAGACGCTACAGGGATCCTACAGGAGCCTACGGGGAGACTGAGGTCTGAGATGCAGTGCTGGGACTAGAACAGGCTTCCTCCCCATCTGGTGACCTGGGCCATCCTGGAGGCTCTCGCTCCAGCAGCGGTGAGCCTGTGGGGACAGTTTCCTGGACTCCTCTGGACCCCTGGATGGGGCCCCCACATCCACTGATTTAGGACACGAGATTAGAGACTTCAGGCCCCAAAGAGCATCCCTGTGATGGACCATCGGCCATACCGGCCAGGGGACACGCCACCGGCCTGGCCCTGGAGGGTTCATCCTCTCCTCCCTGCATCCCGGGCCTGTCCCCAGGCACTCAGCGGCCGCGCATTTCCTTCAGCTCACCCACCACTTCCCTCTGCAGGATGCCACAGGATGAGATTCTCTCTCCTGGACGGACAGACTCTGGCTCTTCCCAGACTGCCCTGCGCCCCCCGAGCCACAGCGGTGTAACTTCAGATGCTGCTACGGCGTGATGGATGGTGCCGTTAGCACCGCTCTCGGCAGAGCGTCCCACAGCTCAAGAAGAAGGAGGAAAAGGCGCTCCTCTGCCCTGAAGTGTTTCACTTTAGCAAACTCAGCCTGCAGTGTGGGCAAGGGACCCGCACTGGGGGCGGCTCCCCTCTACATGCTTTAATCGGGAAGGTTTTGCATCTGCGGCTGGACCCCAAGGAGCCCAGCTGGGATGGTCTTGTGGCAGGTTCTGGAATCAGGGCGTGTGTCAAGGGGTATTTCTTTCAGCATTGCCTCGCTGGGGCTGCATCTGCCCCGGGGCGGGGGGCGCCTTCCGCTCTAAGCCATGTGTGCGTCTGGCTGCGTCCAGCCAGGGGTTGCTGCTCTGGGCCATCGCCCCCAGCTGACCCTTAACTACTTCCTGCTGGACTGTGAGGGTCAAGAGAGGGTTAAGACACCTTGGTCACCTCTCCAGCCTCCAGCAGCCAGGATTTACTGCCTCTGCAGCAGGAGGCTCCACACACCACCACACACGCCTCGAGCCAAAGAGGAGAGCTCGGTGCTCAAAAGCGCGGGGCCGTACAACCGCCCTGCAGTCCTGGAACGGCTCTCCTGTCTGCAACTGCTACACAGGCTTAAATCAAAACCCTCTAAAAAACTCCAGGCCGGCCGCCCACCTCCCACGGAGATGATTCAGAGGCAAGATTACGGCTGGGACGCGGCCGCTGATCTCAGGCCCCAGAAATGTCCTTACCCATGCTGTACTTCGCCTTGGTACACGTTGTTCTTTTCAGAATTTCGTAGACCTATTGCGGAGACAAGGAGGGGGACGGTTACTTCGGGCAGCGATGGCGTGCAGGAACTGTCATGCGATCGCTGGACAGGGACGTGGTTGACCATCACCAGTGACGACCTCCCAGCGTTGTCCAAGGACAGACGGCAGGCTTTTGTAAGGATGCTCGGGCACAGTGTCGGGGTCTGAGGTTCTCAGGGATAAGTAAGTGCAGCTCGAACGGTTCCCATCTTTTACTTCCCTCCGTGAAGCATCAACTACGCGTCACGCTGGGCTTCAGGGTTAAGAGTTGTCCTATGCGCCCTGTGCGACAGGTTACTGTCCCTTTAGGCTGAGAGGTGAGTTGGAATTTAGAGGCACGAGGACCCAGCGAAGAGGACTCCTCCCAGGTGTAGCCCAGAATGTTCTAGAAACCAAGGGGCTGGCAGGCCTCGAGATTCCATTCTACACTGTCAGGAGGCAGCAGAGAAGCGGGCGCCTGGCAGAAGCCCCTTGAAGGGTCCCAGCCACCCCAGCTCTGTGCCCCCTTCACTAACGACACATTTCACCTGGCGGCCTCAGGAGCCCGGCCCGGGAGTCTCCCTGCCTGGGTCTGAGTCCCGGTTCCACGACTGGCAGCTGTGTGGTCTTGAGCAAACTACCTTACTACCCTGTGCCTCAGTTTCCCCACCTGAAAAATGGGATGAAAATAATGGGCCCTACGCCGAAGATGTGCGAGTCAGAGCACACTAATCCTCTCGAAACTCTCTGCACTCTCACGACCTTCCAGTGGCCCCCCCAGGCCTCCTCTGCCCCATCTCCATCCCCACCAGCAACCTCAGCCTCCTGGCTGCTCCTCTCACTCACCAAACCCTCTCCCGAGGCCGCAGGGCCTCCAGCCTGGCTGTTCCTCCTGCCAGAAGCGCTTGTCCCCTGAGATCTAAATGGCTCCAGGGCCACCTTAACAAACAGGCCCAGACAATGTAAAAATCTGGGGTGCACACATCCTGACACACAGGACCGTGACTCAGTTTCCTCAGCCGGCCCTTCTGATTCTCTCTATCCCACAATGACAAAGAAAAAGTGAAAGCACTCAGGTTAGAGCTGTGGCTGGTTCTCCGTCGAGGAGAGAGAGAGAGGAGTTACCTCTTCTGGGAGCAGGCCAGCCCCGAGCTACACAGGCCGCGGATGTTTCTGCATACGTGAGTTCCTTGTTGTTTATAATCACGATTTAATTAAAACGAATCAATAACATGTTCAGAACAAAAATCATGGCAGTGGCTCTATTCCAGCGTTGCGCCCAGGTTACCCTCGGGGGAGGCGCCCTCTGAGCAGGAAGCCAGACGCGTCCTCATTCTGACCCAGGCTAGGTGACTCCCGAGCTTGCGAGGCTGGGAGGGGAGGCCGGGACCGGACCTGCCTGCCCCGCAGCGACCGAGCCCCCCGCGCCACTGCGCCCTGCACCACTGCCCTGCACCACTGCCCCGCGCCAGGCCGCCTGCCAGCCTCGGGATGTGGCCTGAGGGGCAGCTATCTGCCCAAGGTCAAGGGGCCACCTCCTCCCAGCCTGCACCTCTCCCCGGGGAAGAGAGAGCCACAGCCAGGCTTGGCTGCGAGGTTAATTTCTTGTTTAGCTAGAAGTTGGGTCCTGGGCCGTGCACGGCCCGACTTGGCGGGCGGACAAGTTGGCGGCCGGTGGATAAACATTCAACCAATACCTTGAACAGGGCAGGCTGGCCTGGTTGGATTTCAAACCTCAGTTTGCTCATTTGGCAAAGCCTTGGAAATCTACTCCATTGCCCATCATCCTGCCAGGCCCGCCTGCGCGGAAACCTCCGGGTCTAGGGATAGGAACGCGCAAACTCCGCAAAGGGCGAGCGGCAAGGAGGCTGGAGGGATGTGCTGCGGACAGCACGCTGAAATAACCCCAGGGGTCTGGAATTCCTCTCTCTTGCCTCTTTCCTGTGGCTCCACCTGGCTCTCCTCCTCAGAGCTGGCCTGGGGCCGCGGCCCTCCCCCGGGTCCCCTGCAGCCCTCTCTGTCTTATTATTCTAATTATTTCTTTCTCAGACAATTAGAGCCGGCCTCCACCCGGGGGAGTTTCACTGAAATGAAATTATCATCCGTTTCCCCCGGGCCACCTTGCTGGAGAGCCAGCGATTTCCGCATGCAATACTTACTATTGTGCTCCGGGTTTTGCTGTCGAAAAAGGAATCCTTGTCAGACAGGTCAAATCTGTTGAAATATCGGGAAGGAAAAGAGACAGTTCACTGGATCGCCTCTCCGGGTTTCCACGGCCCTGGGAAACCACCGTCCCCATTAGCTGCCACTCTCAAATTAGCGAAACAGTCCACACGCCAGATGTGACCCGACCCTGGGCATCTGGAAGAGTCTGTTTACCTGCCCCCGCCCCCAGGAGGCTCGGAGATCCACATGGGTGGAGGCGACCCCCAAGGCAAGTGTGGTCTGACCTCCCTCCCCGAGGACCCCTGCTTCCTTCTGATGAATCCTCAGCCGGCAGCTCTGAGGATGAGGATGGGCACGGTATCATTCCACCACCATTCCACCATCTGAGGATGAGGATGGGGACACTTGCAATGTTTACCAGTCTCCCTGTAATTTCCAAATGGTTTTGGTCCTGAGGTCTTGGGCCCCCAGGAGGTTGCCTGAGGCTTCCTGAGGGCAGAGGGACGTCTTTGGGATATGGTGCTCAGGGTAGAGCTGGGGAGGGTGGCTCCCCAGGGCTCCATCCTCATGGGGCCTGGAGGTGAGCTGGGCCTGGCAAGGCAGAGGACGCTGAGGGAGTCGGCCAGGGCAGAGCAGAAGGAGGCCGGGGCCCTGGGGGCCCTGGAAAGAGGGTGTCTCCTTCTACTGCCCGGGAAGCCTCTGTCCTGGAGCTGGTGGAAGGAGCTGGGCGGGGGCGACCTCCTTCTCCCTTATTTCTTATCCTCAGCAGGATGGGGAGCCACAGTGGAGTGAAGCACATGGCCCCTGCCCTGTGACTAATACACTGCTGAGGCAGAAGCCCCAGCTCTGAGCCGAGGCCGAGCTCTCCAAGCCCCGTGGGACCAGTGGTGTCCAGGAGCCCTCCCCTCCCAGAGCTCGTCATCGAAGCCCCACCGGGTTCCCACAGCTCGAGCTTTCTATTCCCACCACTGCCCACACTCCAGCTCTGCCCGGGAGGCTCCATGGAGGCCGTGCAGCTGCCACTGACCCAGGTGGCTACGCCCCACCGCCCCTGGGGAGCAGGGGAGGAGGGAAGGTTCCAGAGCAGGTGCGGCACTGCCAGGCAACCCCACTGGCTGCGCTTCCCTGGGGCCTCAGGACTCCAGCCGGGGCTGCTTTTCAGTTCCTGCTCCCAGAGCTGGCAGCCTTCAGGGGGCTCGGTCAACCAGATCCTCTTGTGGGATCACATCCCGAGAGGGACGGAGGGAGCCGGTAGGAGCGAGGGCTTTGGGGCTTTAATCCAAGGCCCACACATGCCCTCACTTGGGTCCGTGCTAGTTTTCCCAAGTGTCACTCAGCAGAAGGACAAGACTCTTTGCCCCTTCATTCCTCAGTTAACAGTGACCTTGGAAATCATTTCCAGGGCCTCTTCTGTGCTCAAGAACTACAAGGTCTTATGAGAATACGCCCCAGGGGCTGGAATCCCACTTCTTTGGGGGATGGAGAACTCCCTCTGACCTCAGAGGGCTTTGTCCCACAATCTGCTTGTCTCACATCATGTATGATGCTGCGGGGTGAAATGACCACATGGTGGGGAGGGGCAGGCGCGGTGGGGGGGCCCACTCACAGGTGCTGCTTCTCCCGGGAGAAGGGATAGGAGAGCCTCTTCGTGGTCTGGGGTCTGTGCTCGGCCACCTTGGGCTGGATGGGGTCCGTGATTTTCTGGAGCACGGAGTTGATCTTTTTCAGGAGGCCTCGGGTCTCGTTAATGTGATACAGCTGCGGACGAGACCGGGCAGGGGGAATCCGTGTCATCTGCTGAGCCGTGCCCCTAGAGTCTATTCTCAGACAGTCACAGAGCCATCCCACCCCACTGAGATGGCACGTCCTGGGAACAGAGCCTCCGGACGGGCCAGCACGCCCCTCTCCACACCTGGGTTTCCGGATAAATCCTGAAAGCTGAGGGTTTCAGGAGAGCCCAGCCAAATGTGCAATTATAATACATTCCAGAAACCTCTCCCCCGAACTTTACTTTTGTTTCAAAAGAAGTCATCCAGACAATTCCAGTGGATTTGAAAAGGCGGGGCTGACTTACTCCTGGGCACGGCTTCAACCCTCCCATTTTCCTCCCCACGTGCAAAGTAAATCCGGGGGACGCCTGGTTAAGCCTCGGAGGACACGCTGTCAGACTGCTGCTTAGCCGAAAGTTTTCAAACATTCAAAAGAAAAATTCCAGCTAGCTAGGAAATGTAATTAGAATGAGTCTGATGAATTAGCCGAGACACAGCCAGGATGAAAGACAGAGCGGGAGGGTTAATTGTGTTCGTGTTTAGGATAAGCTCCGTGGCTCCTCGGCCTGTGCCGTCTCCTGGTGGGGTTTGCTCCGGGGCCTCTAAAGATCACCCGGCCGGGTTATACTCTCCACCATCAGGACACGGGAGCCACACTGCCCTCCCAGGGGTGGCACACAAGCTCACTCTGATCTCACGACAGCTCAGAGCCTCCCGATAACATCCGACTGCCAGCGTCTGTGTGACAGTCAGCCCTGTAGCTCCGTCTCGGGGCAGAAACATCGCCACCAACCTTCTTTGTCGGCATCTTCAGCTTTAAAAACTCCGCCTCTCTGCACAGCACGTTCCAGGGCGCGTGGATTTTCACAAACCCAACCCCGTGAATTTTAGTCTAGAGAGAGGAGAGAGGTGCTCGGTCAGGACGCGAGGCGGGGACCAGCCTCACCGTCAGCTGCAACTGCAGGTTCTCGGGCAGCTGCTACGCGGGGCGCTGTTCCCCGGCCCCTCGCTCACTCCTCTGGACGACGCTTCCAGGCGCTGTTAGAACACCCTCCTTGCAGACGGCGCAAGGAAGCTCGGGGGTGAAGTGGGCTCCTCCAGGTCTCACGGGAACAGTGGAGAGCCAGGAGGGCCTGCAGGGAGGTCTCAGACTCCAACACACCTGGGAGGTTTTCCAGGGGTTAGCCAAGGACCCCCAAAGCAGCCCCGGCAGCAAAAAAAGGGCCTTTCACAACAGCGAGCCCAGGCCCTGTGACCAAGTGGGTGAACCGGGTGTCCCCTGAGTCTCCGAGCAGGGGTGGGGAGAGGTGATGGTGAAGATGGCCCCCTCTGGGCATCTTCCTCCGTGGGGTCCGGCCACTCCTCCGCCTGCGCCTGGCCTGTCCCCCCGGTTCCCTGCATCTGTACTGCCTTGATCCGCACGTGAGTGGGCGGCCTGGTCCGGGGGCTCGACGCCAGGCCCGAGTTCAAGTCCAGCCCCCCCACTAAATGGCTGTGTGCTTGGACCAGTCACTGCTCTCTGGCCCAGCGTGTCTGAACGACAGGGACGAGCAGCCCAGTGTTGCGGGGGTAACCTAAGGGCTTCGTGCGAACTGACTCCATCGACCTGCACAGCCAGCGCGATGAGAAAGGCACGACTACTGCCCCCTGCACAGATGGGAACACTGAGGCTTAAAGAGATTGGGTCACGGCCTGGGCTCCTCCAACAGTTAAAACTAGAACTCCCATACGGTCCAGCAATCCTACTTCTGGGTATACATCCGGAGGAAGCGACATCAGCATCTCAAATAGCTGCATCCCCATGTTCACTGCAGCATTATTCACAACAGCCAAGACATGGAACAGCCCAAGTGTCCATCAGTGGATGAGTGGATAAAGAAAATGTGGTATATACAAACAATGGAATATTATTCACCCCCCAAAAAGAAGGAAATTCTGCCATTTGTAGCAACGTGGATGGGGACTATGCTAAGGGAGGTAAGTCAGACAGAGAGAGACAAATACTGTATGATCTCACTTACATGTGGAATCTAAAAAAGTCAAAACCATAGAACCAGAGACTAGACTGGTGGTTGCCCAGGGCTGGGGGAAGGGAAATGGGGAGATGTTGGTCAAAGGGTATAAACTTTCAGTTATAACAAGACTAAGTTCTGAGGCTCTAACGTACAGCATGATGACTCGAGTTAACAACTCGGTATTGTATGTGGAAAGTTGCTGAGAGCAGATCTTAAGCGATCTCACCACACACACACACACACACACACGCACACACACACACAAAAGAGTTAACTGTGAGGTAACAGACGTGTTAATTATCTTGATCTTGGTAATCACTCCACGATGTATACGTATATCAAATCATCACGTCGTACACTTTAAATATACACAGTTATACTCGTCAATTATCCCTCAATAAAGCTGGGGGAAAAAGTCAGGGCCCAGCATCCTGCAGCCGGCAGGCGTGGGGCCCAAATTCTAACGCAGGCCATGCTGCCCAGTCCCCACTCTTCACCATGGATGAGACCTCGATGCCCCAACGACTCTCTGTTCTTTTCTATTCCCCCTGGAATTTTGTGTGTAAGAGATTCACTTTATCGAGTGGACAGCGTCAACGCGGTAGTAACACGTGTTCCCATCAAAGACACACGTACTATCAACAAACTGTCCGGTCACCCCGAGATAACTGGGGTGCCCCGCGGCGTGGACATCATTGCAACAAAAAGCAAAGAAACACGAGGTTTCCCTGAGCCAGAGGGGGGTCCACGGCCCGACAGACTTCTCAAGGCTGAGAGCGTGGCCACAGAAAATGGGATCATTGCAAGTTTTTGGCAAAAACTGAGCTGAAGTCACTCGGGGATGACGTCTAAGAAAAAACTCCTCGGTGGCCCAAATACACTTGCCCACCGGAAGCCCGCGAAAACTGACGTTCACAGGAGCCCAGGAGAACCCCGGCCTCGAGCAGCGAGAGGCAGAGCTTCCGGGTCCAGCAGAAAGAGCTACAGACGGAGTGATGGACCCGCTCTGTGCCTTCCAGTGACCCTGCCCCACATCCCACCTGGGGAAGGGAACTTCCCTGACACTGAGTTCCATTTGGGGCTTCTTCCCCACCCTGAGAGAAGGGCAAACACCTGCTGGGTGAATCCTGGCTCATCCCTCCACCACTGAACCTGACATTGAGGCCCCCAGGTCCCTGGAGGAGCTGTCCTTTCCCCGGGGCCTCAGGCGCGCTGCCTCTGCACAGGCCTCCTCCGTGCAGCCCCAGCACTCGGGCGAGTCCTGCCCAGGGCCTCCGTGCTCGCTGGCCCCACTGCCCACGGCGGCACAGTGTAGGTACTCACAAGTGTTTGCTGAATGACTAAATGAAGGCCAATGCCAATCATCATCATAAGAGTAATATTAATGATGAGGTTGAGAAGGCTGAGATCTCTGAGTGCTTCTGTGCCGGTCCCTGCTTCATGCATTTACGTGTGTTAAGTCATTTATTCCTCACAACAAGCCTGTGAGGTAGGGCCTCCCACTGTCCTCATCCTGGAGCTGAGGAAGGTGAGGCAGAGAGGGGTGCGCTACGCTAGCTCGCTGAATCAGTGTCCTGGGGCTGTTGTAACAGACAACCACAAACTGGGCAGCTTAGAACAGCACAAATTCATTCCCTCCCAGTTCTGGAGGCCAGAAGTCTGAGATCAAGCTGTCACAGGGCCGCGCGCCCTCCGGAGGCTCTAGGGGAGGGTCCTTCATGCCTCATCCAGCTGCTGGGGGCCCCAGGCGTTCCCGGGCTTGTGGCCGCATCACTCCGGTCTCTGCCTCCATCGTGCATGGCCTTCTCCCCGTGACTCAAATCTCCCTCTCCTTTCTCTTCCAAGGATACTTGTCACTGGATGGCGGGCCCACTCTAAATCCAGAATGATCTTGTCTAGAAATGCTTAACTTAATCATATCTGCAAAGACCTTTGTTCCAAATAATTCCACCTTTTCTCAGGTTCCAGGTGGACACAGCTCTCCAGGGCCACCATTTGGCCCACTCCATGTGTCACAAAGCTGTAGGTCAGACCCTAGAGTGCTTTGTGCAGGGAGCCCAGCTCAGCAGTTGGAGAAGTTTCCAAGAAGCGTCTGGAGGCCCGAGGCTGCTTTAAGGAGACAAGCCAGGACCAGGGCACGCAGGCACAGGGGCCCAACAGGCAAGGCTCAGAGGTGTGCCGGCGCCGGGCACGTCTGCAGGGGGCCTGGAGCCCCGAAACGGCAGCCCAGGGCTTGTGAACCTACAGATCCCAGCACGGGCTAGAGGCGGCAGCCCGGGGGCTCTGGGGAGGAGAGCCCAAATCCCTCTGCTGCCCTTGAGGGGCAGGTTGGGTGTCAAGTGGATACCAGGCGAGGCCACGGGACTTAGAGGCCTTGGGATCAAGTGGCCTGGGTCAGAGTCCTGCCTCGTCCCTGTGTGGTCTCGGGCAAGTGACTCGACCTCTCTGAGCCTGCAAATCTTTGCCATACTAGACTTGCTTCACAGTTGGGGGAGCTCCTGGTGCCCAGCCCCCCGCTGGCAGGAGAGGTCAGGACAATGAGGGGCTGTTGCCTCCACCCAGGATCACCTCTCTGTGGCCGGCTGCAAGGCGGCTGAGACCGCACCTGCTTACATGCACGGGCTCCTTTGGTCAAGAAGCTAGAAGCCACCTCCCCAGCCCGGGGAGCCCTGGAGGCCCTGAGACGGGAGAAGCGGTGGTGCCATCGGTCCTGGTGACTCACGGGCACGGGGCCGACCTCGTGGGGCGCCCCGAGCACCAAGTGACCTCGACAGCCCACGTGCGGCCGAACCCATCTCTTCCCATCACAGACCCGGGTTTATTTCTGTGCACTGCCCACCGCACGCACAGACCCAAAATACATTCTCCCGAGTCCAGGGAGATGTCCCTCGACGGTGGTCATGAGCGGGGGCCGCGGCCGGCCTCCCTGGGAAACACGTTCCCCTGTTTACGGGAGCCGCAGGGTTTCTCCCAGGAAACATCTGGCGGGATTTGGGAAAAGGGTCGTGGGACCAGTTTGGCAAAAGCACATATGGGATGTTTTTTGAAACCGTCCTGCCCGGCCTGACCACAGCCCGCCCCCAGAGGGAAGGAACCGAGCCGGCGGGGCCCCCTCCCCTCAGCCAGATGTCCCGGGGCAGTGGATTCTGTCCCGACTCTGGTCCCTCGTGCTGGGGAACTCGGAGGCCACAGCCCCGCCACAGCATGGGGGCCGGGAGGGCCCAACTTGGCCAGGCCACGGGGCTCTGGAGGGGACGGGGTCAGGGCCCCCACATGGCGCCCAACCAGAGGGGTGGGAGCGGGGCGAGGGTGCTCCATTTCGAGCCCGACTCGCAAAACCTGTGACCTCACCAGAATTGTTTCTGGCATTTTCCTTTTGGAAGGAAGAAGAAAATCACAAAAACACAAACAAAAACATCCCCGTGGGGGATTCGTGGTGGTTGGGGATGCCAAGGGGTCCTGTCTACACCCCCACGGCTGCCTGAGGGCCTGGATGTTCTAAGGCACGGGCTGGGGCCGCCCCGTGGCTTAGCAGTTAAGTGCGCGCGCTCTGCTGCTGGCGGCCAGGGTTCGGATCCCGGGCGCGCACCGACGCACCGCTTCTCCGGCCATGGTGAGGCCGCGTCCCACATACAGCAACTAGAAGGATGTGCAGCTATGACATACAACTGTCTACTGGGGCTTTGGGGAAAAAAACGAGGAGGATTGGCAGTAGATGTTAGCTCAGGAAAAAAAAAAACAACTAAAAAAAAAACAAACAAAAAACCTAAGTCATGGGCTGGACCGCGTGCTTCTCACATCCCTTCACGGCCACCATCCATGCATGGCTAAAGTGAGAGCTTGGAAATTGCTGGAAGGTTTGCACCAGAAAGGACTG